GAGTTAGGTGCATCACAGTGATACTGGTTGAATGTGTTCTGTACAGTGCGAAATGGAGTTTGACAGAAGTGCAGTATCCCTTAACCTATTTCCTATCTCTTCCTCAAGACAGACTGCTACAGGGTGAGGAGAAGCCTCATCACAGCAAGACGCTCGCAGCCACAAAGCAGACTTATTTAGACATCCAAATCAAAGTTATTTGGTGGCCAACAGGAAAAAAATATTCCAGTTTATAAAAAAAAAAAATAGGAAAGCAAGTACAGGGCTACTGCAAGGTGCATCAGAGGTACCAGGTCTTGCAAGCAGCCAATCACCCCCCAATAAACCCCGGCACCCCGCATCCCCAGCACTAAAGTATCTTCAAGCATCTCCAGAGATCACATCACCATTATTTCTGATCAGAGAGACCTCAGTAATCGTTTACTTTAAGTCCATTTAGATGAACCAGATTTGCACCCACTGCTCAAGATGGCTCAAACGTCTTCCGAGAGCTGGTTTGAGGGCATGCGGATAGCAAACACACCTTCCTGGTTGTCAAGCAGGGTGGCAAGCTGGAGCTCTGGGTCCAGTGTGTGGCAAGGCTGATTTCGGACACGAAAGATACCCTAGGAGGTTTTTGTTTTTTTTTTTTTTAAGTTTTTTTTTTTTTTTTTTTTTTTTTTTTGCAAACTGCTGCACAAACCACAGAACGGAGAAAGCCTTTGGTCATGAGATACTTGTGAGAAAGTGAGCCTTGTAAGGAAGATTCCCCTGAATGCCTACGGTATTCTACATCTTAAAAAAATATATTGTGGACGCTGCAGCCATACAAAGAGGGGAGGACTGGGAGACAGGGATTTACAGTCTCACATAGACACAATGGGGAGGTTAAGACAAGCACAGTCATAGTCTGTAAAACTGATTGGCTCGCTGGGATCAGTCATCCTCATCATCCTCTTCGTCTTCTGGATCTTCCTCTCCTTCATCCTCTAGATTTCGTTTTCTCTTTTCTCCTCGTGGAAGGTCTGGAAAGAGAGGGGAAAAGAAAAGAAAGGTGAAGCATGAAGCTTTGTTCAGTCTTGTGGAACAGCATTTGAACTGTGGCTTCAAGCCATGTCAGCCACAGCTTGCTTGTGGACAAGCACAGACTAGATCTACAGCACTGTGGAATGGAAATCCACCAGGCTCTGTTTCTCATGGCACCCAGGAAAGCCTGAGCTAGCACAAGGCAGTAACTATTCTGCCTTCCCTGCATCCCACGTATCAGCAGGCACTTGAAAAACATGTTTTTACCAAGCACCCTCCCCAGGACTGCAGCATGTTAGAATTCACCCAGTTTTGACCAAGCTCATACAAGATGATTTCAAGACATGGCAGCCACTATTCTCTGTCAACATTCACATGTTCAGAGTCTGCTCTAGCCAGAGCAGCCAAGACTCAAGTCAAGGAGATCAGACCTCCCCTCCCTACAGCTGAAAGTCCAGAGGAAGCTGTAGCTAAGAGCATTTCCTGGGAAAGACTGCTAACAAGAGTTCCTATGACAGAAGCCCAGCTCCTGCAAGGAGTATCAGCTCAAGCTACTTCAAACCGGCCTGCCAGGCAATTTACCTTTTTAATATTTGGCCGACTTACTCAGCTCAGTTAGTATTAACAGGCACTAAATGTCCCTTTCCCCCCCCAGCACTGTATGACCCCTCAGTTTTAATTACCATCAATATAGTCAGGCATAAGCAATTTCAGCAATGCCCACAGGAAACACTATACTTTTCATTAGGGAAAAGCTGAAGAAAAGAGCATAGCACCAAAGTTATGGGTGAAATCCCAGGATTACAACAAGTGTACAAGACTCTTCATAGAGCTCTGCAATTGCTTAATTTCTTGGAATTCAGCTTACCATCATCAGCTTCATCCTCTTCATCCTCCTCACCATCTTCCTCTTCATCTTCCTCCTTAAGTCAAGACAATATACTTTTGTTACAAAGGCCCACAACCTCATCAGTGAGGTATAATTCTGTAGCATCATTTTCCTGTAGCATCATTTCTGCTCCCACCCTACCCTGCTCTTAGAGAGCTACAAGCCAAGACAGCAGAAAAGCAGCATTTGTGTTTATATTTATGCAGGCACTATTGTTTTCTACATAACTTCTCGACTCCCCACAAAGGAATTTTTATCACAGAACGGCTGAGGTTGGAAGAGACCTCTGGAGACCATCTAGTCCAACACCCTGCTCCAGTAGGGACACCCAGAGCACAGGGTGGCATCCAGAAGGGTTTGCAAGACCTCCAGAGAAGGAGCCTCCACAGCCTCTCTGGGCAGCCTGTGCCAGGGCTCTGCCACCCTCACAGGAAAAGTTCTTCCTCACATGGAGATGGAACTGCCTGGGTTTTAATTTATACCCATTACCCCTTGTCCTATCGCTGGCCACCACCAAGAGGAGTTTGCCCCCATGTTCTTTACATCCTCCCCTCAGGTATTTGTACATATTGATCAGATCCCCTCTTGATCTTCTCCAGGCTAAAGAGGCCCCACTCGCTTAGTCTTCCCTCACACGATAGATGCTCCAGGCCACCATGCTTGTCTTTGTTGCTCTACACTGGACCCTCTCTAGAAGCCCCATGTCCCTCTTGTCCTGGAGAGACCAGAGCTGCCCCCAGTACTCCAGGTGCCTCCCCAGAGCTGAGCAGAGGGGCAGGATCCCCTCCCTCGCCCGCTGGCAACGCTCCTGCTGCGGCCAGGAGCCCCTTGGCCTTCTTGGCCATGAGGACACGTTGCTGCCTCATGGGGAACTTGGTGTCAACCAGGACTCCCAAATCCCTCTCCGCAGAGCTGCGCTCCAGCATGGCAACCCCTAATCTGTCCTGGCGCCTGAGGTTATTCCTCCCCAGGTGCAGGACCCTGCACTTGTCCTTGTTGAACTTCATTAGGCTTCTCTCTGCCCAACTCTCCAACCTGTCTAGATTTATGTATTTTAATCACTTGAAGCCATGGGGAAGCACCAAGGCAAGCAATGGACAAACATCAAATTCACAAACTCCATGAACAGGGAGTCAGCAGGTACCTGTACGGGGAAATCCTGAGGGTGGTGCAGCACCCCTGAGACCTGTCTCAGACACCTGGTCAGAGGGTCACAAGGATATGAGGACAAACACATTACACATTTCAGAAAGCCTCACCTCATCATCTACTCCATCCTCTTCCTCTTCCCCTTCCAGATCATCATCTTCATCTTCCTCATCATCAATGACTTCTTCATCCAAGTCATCTTCCTCATCGTCATCATCTTCTTCCTCACCTTCTACCAAGAGGGAGATGTGTGTTATGCTTCCCAAATACTTCCCATTCCCAGAGGCTCCCACCTCCCACCCCAGCACTAACAGGCAATAGGCAGGATGAACGTGCACAAGGAGCGCCAGCACCGAGCCCGTGAGCTTGGAGCAAGGCCCATTTCTCATGCAGCCAGAGAAGGGAATGGGGTTTATCCAGACAGCTCCCTACTTCAGGGGCAAGTTACAACCAGTATTTATTTAGCAACAAGATCCTGCAGAAGGGGGCAAGAAATGTTTTCTAAAGAGAACCCAGAAGGGGGAAAAAAAAAATCCAAAAATACCCAAAAAGCAACTTACCTTCCCCATTCTCATATTCATCTTCCAGTGCATCCCCATCTGCTTCAGGGTCCGAATCAGGGGCTTCCTGGTCATCAGCATCAAACCCATCCAGGTAGGTGAGCTGGGGCAGGAGGGTGAACACGCTCTCCCGGTAGTTGATCAGCATTGTCACCTCACAGTTGAAGAGGTCCAGACTACGCAGGTTCGGCAACTTTTTCTGCAAGGATCAATTTATCAGACCACTTACAAGATGACACTGTTTTGAAGATCAGGAAGCCAGCAGGCCCTCTGAACACCTGACTTACTACCCAGATCTACTACAGAAGTGTCCTCACATACACTCTTTGCACCATGTGCTCCTCAAAGATGTACTATTACTTGTGCTAAATGTCCCTGGCAGACTTTTCAGCTCCTCTGCCCCATAGTTTCCCTTCCTTGGAGACAGCTCCCCTTGAAACCATTTGCAAATCTCGTTCCCTTTTGGAGGCAGTGGGTAACAAGCAATATGCCCAGCTCCCCTGGCAGGAGGGATCAGTGATGTGGATTCATCCTGCCCAAGAAACCAGATGAAAAACCTGGGAGAGCAGCACCTAGACCAAACTACACTGTCTGCAGACTGAGTACCACATGTTTTTTTTTGGTCCAGTTGCAGCAGCTCACCCAGTCAGACTATCACACTGAACACTGGGTCAAGCATAGGAGCAAACACGAGGTTTTAAGCTCCTTTTTGGACAGGATGGAAGGACTGTCCCAAAAGCAAGGGCTAATGGGGCAAATGTCCTAGATCAGACATTTCAGCTAGAGCCAGGATCACAAGTGTGATCACCCAGGGCGAGAGGGTCACAGCCCAGCAGGACAGTGTCCATGTGACAGATACACTCACTGGGTGTCCAAGCAACTCATCTCCATGACACCCCAGGTGCCACCTACCTCAAACTGCATCCGACCCATTAATGGTCCTTTCTCAGATGGACACTGAGCACTGCATCCACAGTTTTACTCATCCAGCCCAATTTCATGCTTCTTTTAGCAAGTGGCTGCTGGTTTTCCAGATAGAGGAGCCATTAACTATTAGCCCAGCCTCAAATTGGACCCACTCATCTGTTCCCATCAGAACCACGAAGTGCTGTTGGAACAGTTACCAAGATGTTGTACTTCTGCTGCACATACATGCTCCCCAAAGGAAAAAAAAAAATATATCATCCCTTAGATCCCAGCACAGCCTTGCACTCACCAAGGGCTCCAGGGTATTGATGTCTTTGATCTTGTTGCCACTTAGATTCAAGTGTGTCAGGTTAGGAGTTCTCTCTGCTAGGACTTCAAGGCCACCAGAAATTCTGTTATCACTCAGCTCCAGCTGCCAGGAAGAAATACCATATGGTCACAAAATGTCCAACTTGACATAAGGAATTTTATTCCCCAAGAACTGGACTCTGAGGGACGCCTGAGTTCTAGACCTTGTTCATTAGGCCATGCCATGGAATATCAATTCATGGTTTCACCTTTTTGCCAAGATAGCACAGCCTCAGCCACTTTTGTACTGCAGGACACAAAAGGAACTTACCCTTTGAGCTGTAAGTATGTATCCTAGCAATCCAAACTACTGTCTTTGCTACTGAAGCTTTTGACAGTAACATGACAGCAAAAAAGGCACACTACAAAAGAAATGAGCTCAAAACCATTTTGTTTTATACAGTCTCACTTGCTCAGGTTGCAGAAAAATCACAGCCAAATTACCCTTTTCTGACTACTGAAGGAATGAAATCAATTTTGAGCAAGGAGAGGGCAGAAGTCTAAGAGTACAAGCAGAGATGAGAACACAGGTCTCACTCACCTTGCGAAGTTTGTTAAGCTTGGGGAGACTGGAGACAGACAGCAAGTTGATGTTGATCATGCTGAGGAACTCCAGGTTCTCAAAATCCGAGGAGAGCCCAACGATCTTCCCATCGTCCGAACGGCAGTTATCAAGAACCAGCTCCTTCACCTGCCAACAGACACACTCACAAGTTGTCATCACAAACCCAGCCAGGTCTCACCTTAAGTCAAGCTACGTTTGCCTCTCGAGCTGTCATCAGGACGAGTGACTGACACTTCAAAGCAGCACACGTGCCCTGAGGTCTCCTTACCTCCTAAGGAACCTAAGGGAGAGGGCCCAGGGTCAGACTCCATAAAGGGCGCAGTCCTAAGTAGTCAAATACAGGCTACACCATATGTTACCCCTGCCATATCACACCATGTCTTATGACTGCAGCTAAGGTCTGTCTTCTCCACTAAAAAACATTAACAGGCTGAACCATGAAGCTGCATCAAAACATTTTGCATGCAAAGCCTCAAACTTTCAGAGAGTTCCCTTAAGCTTTATTGACCAAAAGACCACAGTCACCCAGTTTTATTACCAATATTAAAATCTTCCTTAGATGCTGGGAAACCCTAGAATCTGAGAGCAGAACCACTCAACATCTGTAAGGACCAAACACAG